TTTAATTCTGCTCTGCCTTATTAATAATAGTGGTTTCTTAGGATTTAGTATTAGTCTTAATAAAAGCAATCCTCTTAATGAGTTGTCCTCTTAAAAAAGCTTTTAAAGCATCCCATACAATCAGTTTGGAAGCTGTACCACCATTGATATTTTCTGAAAAATGATATGAGGGATTCTGACCTTCCATAAAAGTATCCCAGCACTGCCCTTTTCTGGTAATAGGAATAGCCAGAATGGGTTGACCTTCCATAACGGAAAACTGCTTTTGTAATATCCCCAGCAGCTCTGCCATTCTTTCCTAGCAGAATATTTACTAACATTTATAGATAATGCTGATCCAGGGATCAGATGGGGAAAGGAATTTTTTCCAAGAGCAAATTGGATCATACTTTGCTGGGCTTTTTTTTTCGCCTTCTTCTGGAACAGCTGTGGGTATAGGACCTTTCATGGTTGAAAGACTTTTGATCAGCCAGACTAACTATGTAGGGGAAAAAGATTGACTGAATTTGCCAAGAAAGATCTTATATGTGGCACTCTTTATGTCTGGAGGAAAAGAAAATTTAATCTCCAAACACGGAAAGGTTTCTTCACAGTGAGAGCTGTGGAAATGTGTAAATGTAGACTCCCTCAAGATTTAGTTCTGACCAGCTCAGTGGATTGCTTCTGGGACACAATTAAAGATGGAATTAATACTATTCGAAGACAAAGACTAAGAAGATTTACAAATGTTTTCAACATTAAAAGGTTTGTAACTTTATTTTCTATCTGTTTTTTTCTTGCTGTGCACATGATACACAAGGGCATCTTGGTTGCAGAAAGTGGAATGATGGTCTTTTCAGTCTTTGGTAACCTAGTACCTAAAATACAGTTTTATCACCATTGGCACAATTAAAGATGGAATTAAATAATATTCGAAGACAAAAGACTAAAGAATTTAAAATTTTTTCAACTGATTATTTTGTTTGTGTTTTTTTATTGGAGCAGTTGAAAAGATGTTCAATTATTTTTTTTCACAGGTTATAAGAATCCTGAAATATACAGTATCTTGTGATTATTCGTGAAAGCACAGGAAATATTCTATGGATGCAAGAAGTGGTCACCCAGTACTATGAAAGATCTTGGAATATATCCCATCACTGATCATGAAAGCAAAGGAAATATGTTATGGAGACAATAGCTATCCTCCAGCACTATGAGCCAGCCTGAAAAATACCTCAGAATTACTGATGAAAGCACAGGAAATATACTATGGATACAAGGGGTAATCTCCCAGTACTATGAGACATCCTGGAATATATCTCATGATTACTCATTAAAGCACAGGAAATATGCTATGGACACAGGAGGGGGTCATCCAGTACTATGAAACATCATGGAATATATCTCATCATTTCACATGATAACACAGGGAATATTCTATGGAGACAATAGGTGATCCTCCAGTACTATGAGACATTCTGGAATATATCTCAGAATTACTGATAAAAGCACAGCAAATATGCTATGGCTACAAGAGGTGATTCCCTAGTAATATGAGACATCCTGGAATTTATCTCATGATTGCTCATAAAAACACAGGAAATATGCAATGGATACAAGATGATTCTGCGATAATATGATAGGTTCTGTAATATATACCCTGATTACTCATAAAAGGACAGAAAGTATGTTATGGCTACAAGAGGTGATCCTCCAGTACTATGAGACATCCTGGAATATATTTCACGATTGCTCATTAAAGCAAAGGAAATATGCTATGGCTGCAAGAGGTGATCCTCCAGTACTGTGACACATCCTAAAATACTGCATATCTCATGATTACTTATGGAAGCACAGGGTGCATGCTTTGGATGCAAGAAGTGGTGATTGAGTACTATGAAACATCCTGGAAAATATCTCATGATTATACATCCATTTTTTCATGTTATATCTTTGTATTTTGGAAGCTGTGCCTTTTCCCCCAGTATTTTCATCATAATGACAATAACAGCACATTGTGTGTGAGTTAAACTTGTCATACTATTGATAATTGTATAATATAGATATATTGATTTTATTAACTTTGCTGTTTTAAGTAAATGTTCAAATGTGTATCCTCTTTTGTGGTCTGTGCTAGTAAAGTTATCACCCCTCAGCAACTGGGGTTGCCCTGTCTGGTGTTTTAAGAGGAAATAAACCAATAATTTTTCTGTTCTTCTCAGATATTAAGCATAATACGCTATATTTTATATATGTCCTGACAAAATAGTACCTTCAAAAATACACCTAGAGTCCAACTGAGAATGAATGCTTACACCATAAATATAGTTTATAGTTATCCAATCCCATGCAGATGAAATAAGCAAGCAAGGCTTTCTTTTCACATGATTGGATAGTTGAAGTGAATTTGCACACATTTTGTTGTGTGACCACACAAATCCTTTAGTAAATCAGCATCATAGTAGCTCAACAATGCACTTACAGTATACACAGTATGTTGGTTTTCTGGCTGTGATGCAAACCCTCAGTATTTTCTGAGTTTAATGACCTTCCACGTGTACCACAAGCCTGATGATTTACCCCAAATTGTTGTAAATATACAGTATCTCACAAAAGTGAGTACACCCATCACATTTTTGTAAATATTTTATTATATCGTTTCATGTGACAACACTGAAGAAATGAAACTTTGTTACAATATACAGTAGTGAGTGCACAGCTTGCATAACAGTGTAAAATTGCTGTCCCCTCAAAATTACTCAACACACAACCATTAATGTCTAAATTGCTGGCAACAAAAGTGAGTACACCCCTAAGTGAAAATGTCCAAATTGGGCCCAATTAGCCATATTCCCTCCCTGGTGTAATGTGACTCGTTAATATTACAAGGTCTCAGGTGTGAATGGGGAGCAGGTGTATTAAATTTGGGAGTTGAGGATCTGAAAAAAAGAATTGTTGCTCTACATAAAGATGGCCTAGGCTATAAGAAGATTGCCAAGTCCCTGAAACTGCGCTGCGGCACGGTGGCTAAGACCATACAGCGATTTAACAGGACAGGTTCCACTCAGAACAGGCCTCACCATGGTCGACCAAAGAAGTTGAGTGCACGTGCTGAACATCATATCCAGAGGTTGTCTTTGGGAAATAGACATAAAGGTGCTGCCAGCATTGCTGTAGAGGTTGAAGGGGTGAGGGGGTCAGCCTGTCAATGCTCAGACCATACTCCGCATGCTGCATCAAATTGGTCTGCATGGCTGTCCCAGAAGGAAGCCTCTTCTAAACATAATGCACAAGAAAGCCCGCAAACAGTTTGCTGAAGATAAGCAGACTAAGGACATGGATTACTGGAACCATGTCCTGTGGTCTGATGAGACCAAGATAAACATATCTGATTCAGATGGTGTCAAGCGTGTGTGGCAGCAACCAGGTGAGAAGTACAAAGACTAGTGTGTCTTACCAACAGTCAAGCATGGTGGTGTGAGTGTCATTGTCCGGGGCTGCATGAGTGCTGCTGGCACTGGGGAGCTACAGTTAATTGAGGAAACCATGAATGCCAACATGTACTCTGACATACTGAAGCAGAGCATGATCACCTCCCTTCAGAGACTGGGCCGCAGGGCAGTATTCCAACATGATAACGACCCCAAACACACCTGCAAGATGACCACTGCCTTGCTAAAGAAGCTGAGGGTAAAGGTGATGGACTGGCCAAGCATGTCTCCAGACCTAAACCCTATTGAGCATCTGTGGAGCATCCTCAAACAGAAGGTGGAGGAGCGCAAGGTCTCTAACATCCACCAGCTACGTGATGTCGTCATGGAGGAGTGGAAGAGGACTCCAGTGGCAACCTGTGAAGCTCTGGTGAATTCCATGCCTAAGAGGGTTAAGGCAGTGCTGGAAAATAATGGTGGCCACACAAAATATTGACACTTTGGGCCCAATTTGGACATTTTCACTTAGGGGTGTAGTCACTTTTGTTGCCAGTAGTTTAGGCAATAATGGCTGTGTTGAGTTATTTTGAAAGGACAGCAAATTTACACTGTTATACAAACTGTATACCTACTACTTTACATTGTAGCAAAGTGTCATTTCTTCACTGTTGTCACATGAAAAGATATAATAAAATATTTACAAAAATGTGAGGGGTGTACTCACTTCTGTCAGATACTGTACATTTACATTTTCATATCAGGAGGTCATAATTTGCCTAAACAAAACATTTTCATACACAGGGACACAAAGTAGTTTTCCTATTGTGTTTTTTTGTCAATGAGACTTTTAGAGTATTTGAAAGTATTTTATGGTAACATATTTTTAGCTATGCTTGCAGAACCTCAAATGTAGCATATATGGAAATGTAAAAGTTATTGACATTCAATGTGAGCAGCACAGTGGCTAAGTAGTTGGCACTTCCGCCTAGCAGCACTAAGGTTGTTGATGCAAATCCCAACCATGGCACTACTTGTATGGAGTTTGCATGTTCTCCCTGTGCCTGCATGGGTTTCCTCTAGGTACTCTTGTTCCCTCCCACACTCCAAAGACATACTGGTAAGTAAATTGGCCCTAGTATGTGAGTTAGGAACCTTAGATTGTAACCTCCTTGAGGGCTGGGACTGATGTGAATGTTCAGTTTAATGCAAATTGACAGCTCTGTATACATACCTATAATAATAATGCAAGGTAAATATTAACCGCCCCCCGCCCGCCATATAGTGTAATGACTGGTGCAAGGCGGTTCTCTCGTTCTGGGAGGACGTCATATGACATCGTCCCATTGTAACTGCGCATGCGCGGCTCCAGGAGCCTGCAGCACGGCGATCGGTGGTGTGCTGTGTCCCTCGGATCACCGATCAACGGAAAGAGTCGAAGATGTCAGCTCAGTCATGTGATCAGCTGTGTCCAATCACAGCTGATCGCATGTAAATAGGGAAATGCTGGTTATTTCTCTCCTCATGAGTTGTCACGCTGACAGCTCGAGAGAAGAGGAGAGCAGAGCCGGTAATCAGCATCCCTCAGAGGGGACATGTGCACTGATCATCAGTGTCCATCATTGCCAGCTGCCAGTGCTCATCCATGCCACCTGCCAGTGCCCATTAGTGCCACATCAATGCCACATATCAGTGCCTACCAGTGCACATCAATGCCACATATCAGTGCCCATCTGAGCTGCCTTTCAGTGCCACCTATCAATGCCAGTCAGTGCCACCTATCAGTGCTGCCAATCAGTGCCACCTATCAGTGTCAGTCAGTGCTGCCTGTCAGTGCCACCTATCAGCGTGCATCAGTGCTGCCTATCAGTGCCCGTCAGTGCTGTCTATCAGTGTCGCCTAACAGTGCCAGTCAGTGCCACCTATCAGCGCCAGTCAGTGCCGCCTATCAGTGCCACCTATCAGTGCCATATATGAGTGCTGCCTTTCAGTACCCATCAGTGATGCCTGTCAATGCCCATCAGTGCCACCTACTAGTGCCTCCTCATCAGTGCCCATCAGTGCCACCTATCAGTGTCCATCAGTGCAGCTTACCAGTGCCCATCACTGCAGCCTCATTATCGCACATCAGTGAAGGAGACAAATCACTTATTTACAAAACTGTATAACAAAAACTAAGAAAAAAAATTTTTTTTCAAAATTTTCAGTGGTTTTTGGTTTGTTTAAGAAAAAATAAAAAAACCCAGAGGTAATTAAATACCACCAAAATAAATCCCTATCTGTCACAAAAAAATTATAAAAATTACATATGGGTACAGTGTTGCATGACCGCGCAATTATCATTCAAAGTGTGACAGCGCTGAAAGCTGGAAATTGACCTGGGCAGGAAGGGGGTATAAGTGCCCTGTAGGCTAGGGGTTAAATGAAGGTTTACACAGGAAACCTAATATAATAAATTAAAATCTATTTGCATTAGGCATTTTGCCTTTTTTTCTCTACTTGTTTCATAGTAGAGAAGAACACAGAAAATACACAGAAATGACTGTGTTTTGATAAATGAGTGCCTTGTTCGGTTAAATATTTCTTCAATGATAGGGCAGTGGACTCTGATAATCCACAATATTCAGATCCACTATGGCAGCAAATATGCTTTCTAAGATAACCTTTGCTGAAACAAAATTAATTGACTGTCATTGCTGACCTCTTTATGACAGTATGAGTGAAATTTTATGGAAATCATGCAGATCAACTCACATCAGTACTTTAAACAGTCATTGGCCCTAATAGTATGTAGTAAGCGCAAAGTCAAAACTACTTATACATGTTACATTTCCATCCCTTTAGAAAGTTTTCAAAGCAAATGATCTGCACTGAGACCATAAAAGTAGCATTTTTAGAAGACAAGGTCTATTTCTCTTGGCATTTATTTTGTTCTAGAGAAAAGGCTGTATTTGCAACAATAGACAGATGACATCTTTTTGCAATAACAGATAATACCACATTATTTATGGCTACATAAGTGCTGAGTTCTAGGTCTTACAATTTCTGTACACACCAGTTTGTACCATAGAAAATGTCCTGCCCATTCACAATAATGTGATTTGGACTATGCAAACAGCAGTGTAGAGGGAGTTGGTAAAATGTGTCTGTAACATAAATGTAGGATTCAGATAGCTGTGATGTGATCTGTAGAAATATGTCATTGTAGATCTCGTCTCATGTTATTACAGATATTTTTATTATTATTATACAGGATTTATATTGCGCCAACAGTTTGCACAGCGCTTTACAATATAATAAGATAAATGTTCAGTAGTCAGTCAGAGACACATGTTCACCAATTAGCATCTGAAAGGACAGAGCAGCTTCTAGGCTGGAGGTGACACCTAGATGTCAATAAAATGTTGTCACCTATGTAGTCAGACTTTGCCACCTTCTTGAAGTCTAAAAGAGGAGCTCCATTCATTTCAGCTTCGGGAAGCAGCAGGAGACCAGGAGTGGCTCCAAAGTGTCTTCCAGCAATGATTTATATACACAGATCAAAGGAAAATATTTAATCTCTCATGAAAGCTAAAATATTAGTTGCAGAGAGATGAAAATACTTCCTTCTGATTGGACACACCGTTGGCTACACCTGCATGTAAAACTGTATTTGTAGCCCCTGTGTAATCCCAGAGAAACGCAGCAAATGGTTATATGGTGCCTGAGCTGAACAGCGATTGATACTGTCGCGATAAGGCTGATGCCATGGTGTTGGAAATTCTATCTCTGACGTGGTGATTCAAACCGTTCCTGGTCCAATCGACTTTGGGCACTTCAGTACCCAGAATATCCTGTGGGCTGCTACAGGAACACCCCCCAGGGTTGATTGGCTAAGGGCTAATGTCCAGCCTACGTCCATATTTCAATAAATTGAGGACCCTGAGATATGGACGGTGTGATTCGTATGGAGCAGGTTCTATTTGACTGGCGAATCGCAGACTGTCTCTGACTTGCTCCAGTTGCAGGATAACTATTTGTAAAAGTTTTATTTCTGTTTTATTCCCTTTTATTTTATAGTGATTAGCCAATTGTATGTCTTTTTGCATTTTCTGTAATTGTTTTTTCTTTTTACATATTTTTTGCAGTGCCCACTTTTGGGATATTAAATCATAAAATTAATAAGTGACTTCTGGGTACTTAAGCTCGGGCTCTTATCTCTGGAGAGATTGTATTGTATTGCAGTGTCTATATATGCTCGGTCAAGTTCATTGCCAATCTGTATGCAATTGCACTGTGTGTTGGCAGATTGCATGCAGATTGTAAAGTAGCAGATCTGCCAGATGGAGATTTGTGTGTGTGTGGTGGCCCAGCAGATCAGCCTGCGGACAAACTGTTGGGTGGTGGCAAGCTACCATTTGTTGTATGTCTGGTGTGGGGGTGTGTGGACAGTGGAAGAGTTTCTGCTCTATAGATCAGCAAAAAATAATTCACCACCATCCCCAAAAATCTAAGAATGTCAACTTCCTCAACTTGCTCTTATACAAACATCTAATCTGTCCAACAATACCTCTGAAACTGTTCCAAACTCTGCTAACAGAAATATACATATGGGGAAAGTGGAAGAAAGAAAACCTAAGTAACTGGTGTATTACTTTACGAAATCCATGAGAACCATCTGTTCATGGGAAGACCCTTAAGAAGGAAGGGGGCAGAGTTCAGTATAATTCAAGAGGAGGTGCGTCTTTGGAAAAATAAACACATACAGTATATCATAATATTTAAATTGATGTTTGAAAGGTCAGAACAGTGACTGATGTTTACATCTTTCTCTACTTGGAGTCTGAGAAAGACATTGTGAAGCAGTTGAGCCTAAGGTTGTGGCCGAAGGCTGATATTGGAGAATCCACACATAGATGAGGATGAGGTGCATGTGAAAAGGGCAGTTCTCTTCAAAATGTATATGCTGTTACGTTAAACTTTAACGTATTAAAATGCATAGCATGTCTGTGTTGTTTAAATATAGAATATATTAAATTTCTTTCAATCCTTCTATTTGCTGTTTAAAAGAAATTCTTGTTGTATACATACACATATCTACAGTTGTTCTCAAAAGTTTGTATACCCTGGCAGAAATTGTGAAATTTTGGCATTGATATTGAAAATATGACTGATCATGCCAAAAAATGCTCTTTTATTGATGGATGATGATCATATGAAGCCATTTATTATCAAATAGTTGTTTGGTTCCTTTTTAAATCATAATGATGACAGAAATCACCCAAATGGCCCTGATGAAAAGTTTACATACCCTGGAATGTTTGGTACAGACACACAAGGTGACACACCTAGGTTAAAATGCCAATTAGAGGTTAATGTCCCACATCTGTGGCTTTTTAAATTGCAATTAGTGTCAGTGTATAAATATTCAATGGGTTTCTTAGCTCTTACATGGCAGCACTGACTAGGCTAGATACTGAGCCATGGGGATCAGAAAAGAACTGTCAAAAGTCCTGCACAACAAGGTAATAGAACTTTATAAAGATGGAAAAGAACATACTTTCACACAGTATATATGTATGAAAGTATAGTAGGCACTCTATATAAGGAGGCCAGTGAATGTATATCGAGAAAGATAGAATGGCAATAACAATACTCAATCTAAGCAGAAAAGCTTGGGGCTCCACATCTATATAGCAAAGTATTGTGGGCACGCAGAGCTCTTCCAAAAGAGTATATTAATCAAATGGTTGGTTTATTACACAAACGTTTCAGTGTGTCACAGTCCACCCTTCTCAAGACTGTGACCCGATGAAACATCAGTGTAATAAATCAGCCATTTGACTACTATACTCTTGTAGAAGACCTCTGAGTGCCCACAATACTTTGCTATATAGATTGAGTATTGTTATTGCCATTCTATCTTTCTCGATATACATTCACTGACCTCCTTATTAGGTACAATTGTTCAATTGCTTGGTAACACAAATTGCTAATCAGCCAATCACATGGCAGCAACTCAATGCATTTAGGCATCTAGACAAGGTGGAAATGGCTTGTTGTAGTTCAAACCGAGCATCAGAATGGGGAAGAAAGAGGATTTAAGTGACTTTTAACGTGGCATGGTTGTTGGTGCCAGACAGGCTGGTCTGAGTATTTCAGAAACTGCTGATCTACTGGGATTTTCACACACAACCATCTCTAGGGTTTACAGAAAATAGTCCCAAAAAGAGAAAATGTCCAGCGACAGTTGTGTAGATGAAAATTGATGTCAATCAGAGGAGAGTGACAGACTGGTGCAGTGTGACGATCTGTCACAACCCAGGATTCTCAACTAGGCAGGTTGAGGGGCTCCAGGGTAAGTGTTTGATACGGAGGAAAGTGGCTTTTCACTTTCCTCCTTTGTTTGTAAGGTCTGTTTTGGGATCTGGAGCCTGGAGATTTCAAAGAGATCTGGGAGGGATGAAATCTCCAATCCTGGGACCAGGTTTTGGAATAGGCCAGGAGACTGATTTCACAGGTGTGTGCAGGCCTTTAGAGACAGTCAGGACCAGGGTTCTGGGCTCCACCCCGGCAGATAGGAGTCAGGAGGTCACTGCCTGGAAGTCAGGTGGGCTCCACCTAGGAGAGGTGGAAGCCAAAAGCAGCAAGGGGCTGCTAGAGTCTAGCTGTGTGCTAGTGGCCAGCTGTGTGCACAAGCCATAAGTCTTGAAGAAGTCTGCAGGAGACAGACAGGAAGATTGTATATCTGAGAGAGCCAGGAGGCTGAATTTTGTTTTGTGGATGATCGATACCCCTGTGTGGGAAACTTCTGTTTGAACTTTCGTTTAAATAAAAGTGGGCAAAAAGGCCCTTAAAGAAAGCGAGTAGCTGTGTGCGTTTAAAAGCTCTACCACTTTGAAGCGAGTTCCCACAATATATACACACAGGTGAAACTCAAAAAATTTGAATATCGTGCAAATGTTCATTTATTTCAGTAATGCAACTTAAAAGGTGAAACTAATATATGAGATAGACTCATTACATGCAAAGCAAGATAGTTAAAGCCGTGATTTGTCATAATTGTGATGATTATGGCTTACAGCTCATGAAAACCCCAAATCCACGATCTCAGAAAATTAGAATATTGTGAAAAGGTGCAATATTCTAGGCTCAAAGTGTCCCTCTCTAATTAGCTAATTAAGCCA